GTGGGGGACAGACACGTCTCACTCCCCAGGATCCCCCCACTGTCAGATGGCTGTGGGATCCGCAGACGGGTTAAAGTCCATCAGGCTCCTTTGGAATAAAGAAAGCAGACGGGATGAACAGAGAAACACAGAACTCTGCCCCAATGCCAGATTCCAGTCCAGGTCCTACACTGAAATACGGCAAACCTCACCTGTCTTCAACTCAGCGTCCCCTCCGACTGTGGGGTTAAGCCACCTTTACGTATTGCACACAGCCCTTCCATGAATCCTAATCAGAAAAGGGAGAACTGTACATCAATAACCGTTGATCAAGACAAGAAAGCAGCAAGTTCATATGAGATGGAGAGACAGAATGCTAGACTGGTCTGAGAAGTCAGTCTCTGTGGAGCATGTGGGACTTGAGATGATCCCTGAATAATGGGGGGGGGGGGGTGAACCAATGGACAAAGTCCCTGGGTAGCACAAGCAGTTTGTGATCGGCTGCTAACCCAAAGGTTGGTGGTTCAAGCCCACTTAGCAGCTCTGTGGAAGAAAAGCCTGGCAATCTGCTTCTGTAAAGATTACAGCCCAGAAACCCCTACGGACCCCATGTAACACATGGGAGTCACCCTGAGTTGGAATCAACTGGATGCAATGGGTTTAACCAACGGAGTCTGGGATGGGTTAAAGAAGAAGAAATGGTGTGAGCACACACAGAGGTGGGAAAGCAACAGCACAGTTTTAATGGTTAGTTTCCAGTGTGGCCTGAGCCTAGGCGTGTGAGGAGATGGTCACAGAAAGAGGAGATACAGCCTCAGCCCTGCACAGAGCTCTGAAAGCTGGCTGAGGAGGCTGGCCTGTTCTCGGGAGACCAAGGGCACCACCAGGTCTGTGAAAAAAGGAATACTCTCAGATCACGGCTGAACGTAAAAATTAGTCTGGACACTAAAGGAGAGTTAATCCACTGTCACACTCAGGTGGTTAGAGCACAAAGACACAAAATGGACAAGGGCTGAGAACGCGGAGCCACCTGGACTCAGCAAGTGAGGGAGGCACAGTGGAGAGGCACGAGACTTTACAAAGGCGACCCAGACATGGGGTCTGGGGGATGGGGAGGCGGGAGGGGGAGAGGGCAGGAAGGGGGAAGGGG